TAATGACTCCAGCTCCATGTCCTGGGCCTCTCTGAGCCTCAGTTAACCCATCTGTAAGACAGAGACCATAACATCTACCTGGCTGAACATAGACGATGCCTCCTCCTTATGGCTTTCCCTAAGCAGAGTCTGGGCCCTCACTCCCATCCTGATCTAGAACTGCTGAGGATGAGGCACAGAGGCCCTCATCTGTACCTTCACCCAGCTGGGCCCTGGGGAGGAGGGGGCAGCGTAGGCAGCCCTCCCTAGGAGGCCCAGTCTGGGGCTGGGGGCGGAGCCTCCAATCCCAAGAGAGGCAACCGGGGGGAGGTGCGGGGCCGGGAGGCGGGAGGAAGAGAGAATCCACCGGGGAGGCATCCTGAATGGCTCATTAGTGCCGATGAAAGCCTTTTTTCATTTCGTCTAAATACTTTAAACAGGGCTCCCTCCGATGTCTATTTGCATAGCTTAAGAGCTAATGCGGGGGGAGGGCCCGGGCAGTGGCGGGCCACACCGGGGCTGGGGGCTTCGGGGAAGCTCTTGGGCGTTCTCCACGGAGGCGGGGTAGAGGTGGGGGCTAAATGGTGTTTCCCAGACACTCCTCACTTGGAAGATGCTGCTCCCAAGCCTGCATTAGGGAAGGACAGAGTGGCCCTGGAGTATCTTTCTGGGTGCAGTCACCAGTGGAAGGGGCAGATGGGGATCATGAGAATCTATTTTGTGGGACATACCTTTGTCCCACATAGGCATGCAGGGGATTGGGGTGGCTCCCTAGATGGTGCAGGATCATCCTTATTTTATAGCTGACATGCTCAGGGTCACAAACATGGTTATTCAGAGGAGGCAAAGCCTCTAAGAGGTGACTGGCCCAGACTCCTGTAATTTTAAGTGGCAGAGCTGACACTTGAATCCAGGTCTATGTGACTCTGTGCCCTGGCCCTGTGGAGCAGTGTTGGGGCTCTAGTTTGGGGCCCAGGTTCAGATGTGTTTCAGCATGTAGTAGGGGCTCCTAGAGTCCCAGCCAAAACACTTCCTGAGGGTCTGGTTCAGCCCAGCTCTGGTGCCAGCTCCACTACTAACCTGCAGAGACCTTGGATGAGTCCATTCTTGCTCTGCACTGTGGTTTCTCCACTGGCTGGGGTGTTCATGGTTGGGCAGCTCCAGTCTCCTGCAGCTTCAGTCTCTTCCTGCTCTGAAGCAGGCTGACCTGGAAAGACTGGGGGTTTAAAGCTAGATAGACAGGCAGAACTCCGCTCCAGCACTGCAAGACTTTGAGCATGAACTCCTCTTACCTCTCCTCCAGACTCCAGATCCTTTGGAAAGCAGGAAGATTTCTATCTCACAGAGTTGCAGTGTCAATTAAATAATATGAGGTCTGGGAAGGGCCAACACAGCAGGTGCATGGTGAGACTGGGTATCTGGGCCCCTGGGACCTCCTTCTGCTGGTTCCCTTATCACACTCTGCCCCTTTGTCATTCCCTGATGGCCAACTCAGTCACCCAGGCAGAAAGCAGCCCCTGAACTCCCAGGCATGACCTTGGAAACCTAAGGGGCATGTCACAGAGGTTCAGGCCTCTGACAGTCAACCAGGGTGCCTGGAGATGCCCTTCCCCAGAAATGGTTTATCTCCCAGAGATTATCTTACCCTCTTTGACAGTAGGTGGCACCCTCCGGGAACCAAGTAGCAGCTGATTTTGGAATCAATTTGCTAGTTTGATATGCTATCTCCATCCCATTTAACCAAGTGCTCAGTCCCCCTAGATAACATGAACAGTGCAATCTACAGTGACGGGAGGCACCCATTAGCTCCGCTCCATTGCCCAGCACCCACCTGACTGCTGGCAGGAGCGTGTGCCTGCCTGCTCTGATCACTTCCCAAGTCAAAGGATCTCTGTGCACTTTCTCTCCCCACAAAGAGTCCCACTGGTACCCACCCTGGGAGCTGTGGGCCATATCACTTGTTGGGCAGTCCAGGAAAGGGACTCCCAAGCCATGTACACCTCCAGGGGCTCCAGTCTATGTGATGAGAAAGGCTCTTCTTCCTGTGTCATCCTCAAATCAGTCTCAGCTCACCTGGCAAAGACTAGGTGACATCTGGGGGGTAGGCAAAGAGAGTACCCCTGTCCTGGCGCGTCACAGGAACTGCCTGGACCCTCCATCACTGATTCAGATGAAAGACACTGGGCAGTGTCAGACCATCTGCTCTGAGGGGTATGAGCCTGGCCAAGCATCTAGTTTGGACACTGATATCAGAGCCTGGCACGGAATGTCAGGGCACAGATGAGCAACTTTAGTGAGGATCTCAGGAAATAGAAACTACTCCTGGTTTCTCAAAGCTTTGGGTTGCCCAGGCTTCTCTGATCCAGGGGAATGCAGAGTACTCCAACCTGTACCTGCCTCCCCCACCCCAATTTCCTCCCTCCTCCCATTGTCTGACACATCATAGCTGCTCTGGTCTCCTGAACAGAATGTAGGCCATCTGGCACTTCCTTATGCCTGCCAATCCATGGGGTGGTTGTGAGCCTGTAGAATGACAGCCCCACCACCAGACATGCAGAAAAATCGACCTTCTCCTTGCAAACTCTGGTAGCTATACTTCCTTTCAAGTCCTTATGCAGCCATTTTGAGGACTGTAGGAATCAGGAATATCCTCCCAGCCTTCTCAGAGTTGGCAAAATTCTGGATGAACTGAATTTGGAGCCGGTATCCATTGACCTTTTCATGGAGGTTAAGGATTTAAAGAACCTAGTGGGCCACATGCAGAATATGTATTATCTCTCCAGTTATGTGGTTGAATAAGTCAACATAATCAATAGTAGAGCAATCTGTACCTCTGACCAAAGATAGCAAATAAGCTTCTTCTTAGGCTAATTGATTGGTAGTAGCTACCTGGATAACCATGTTAAGAAGTATTCTGTCCCATGTGGCCTCAAGAAGAAATAAGCAAATTGATCAGCAATATCTACCATGAAGGGGGGCGGTCAGCATGCCAAGTGTCCATTCCATCCCTGTTTTAGACCCTGTCCTAGAAGGTCCCTGACTAGTGTCATAAGAAAGATAAAAGGGAATTCAGGGGGACAGTGAATGGGGAAGGGAAGTAGCATTATCTTGGTCAATCATAAAAAAAGAAGTCCCAGATGAGAAAACTAAGGCTTAGGGAGTTTGGACTACTTGCTCAAGGCCACAGAGTGATGGATTTGGGAGCTGAAGCCTCATCTGCCCTGCTCTGGGCTGGCACCACTCTACTCACATTACTGTTGTGGAAGGACCATAAAATCAGGAAAGAGAAGAAAAAATGATTTTCTGAGAAGTAAGAGAAATGGGATCTCATAGCTGGGTGTGGTGGCGCACACCTGTGATCCTAGCACTCAGGAGGCTGAGGCAGGAGGACCACCAGAAGTTCAAGGCCAGCCTGAGCTACATAGGGAGATCAAGGCCAGCGTGGACTACACAGCAAAACCTTGCCTCAAGAAAGAGGGGGAGGGGCAGGGATTTAGCTCAGTGGCACTGCACCACCTGGCAAGTGCAAACTCCCCACACCAAAAAAGAAAAAAAGAAATGGGATTTCATGAGATCCTAACAAAGAAGTTATGCATCTATGAGGAAATCTAAAATAAAATCTCAGCTGGATGTGGTGGCATTTGCCTAGTAATGAGTTTTAATTTAATTAATGTATTTTGTTTTGTCATTGTTGTTGTTGAGGTACTGGGGATTGAACCCAGGCCCTTCCTACTGAGCTATAACCCTAGTTCTTTTGAAATTTTTCTGGGGGGTGGGGGAGAGGGTTTTGTTAAGTTGCCGAGCTGGGCTCTAATTTGTGATCCTCTTGCCTCAGTCTCCCAGAGTGACTAGATTACAGGCACTAGGTTGGAATTACTGAATGCTGGTAGGAAAGTCCATCTTTGCTCTTTAGAAATCTAGAAGGAAACTGGGTGTAATGGCACATGCCTGTAATCCCAGCACTCAGGAGACTGAGACTGGAGGATCTCGAGTTTGAGACCAACCTGGGCTACATAGTGAGTTCAGACAAAGCCTGGACTACATAGCAAAACACTGTCTCTAAATAAAAGATAAATTTTTAAAAGTAAGGGGAGGGTTGGGGTATAAGTTGGGGTGAGCACCCTGAATTTGATCTGCAATGCCATTAAAAAAAAAAAGATAAAGTTTAAATATGTGAAATAGTTCCTAAGACTAATGACTAGCAATTCCACTGAGAACAGGAATTATATTTGAATTCTGTCTATAATATAAGGCAGAAAAATCATTGTTGTGGAGTATAGCAGCTATATCCTAGCTCTTTTTTTTTAAATTGTGTTCTAATACATGTTTTTATTGTTAGTTTTTTATTTTTTTTATTTTTTTGGTACCTGGGATCGAACTCAGGACCTTATGCTTTTGAGGCAGGTGGCAGCACCACTGAGCTAAATCCCCAGCTTTTTTTTTTTTTTTATGTTGAGACAGGGTCTTGCTAAGTCACTAAATTGCTCAGGCTGGACTCTAATTTGTGGTCTTCCAACCTCAGCCTCCTATAGTGCTGGAATTACAGGCATGTACTACTGCACCTGGCAGATACCAGTCTTATTAAGGTCGTTATTTCAGGTCTTCAGCTCGTCATGTGACTTTGAGCAAGCAACTTCCTTTTTTGGCCTATCTCCTCATTAGTAAAATAAAGCCTTGGGCTGCATTGAAGATAGCAAATATTTGTCATGTCATGGCTGCCTGGAGTGCTGTGTTGAATGAAGGTTCTAAGACTGAATCTGAGAACAGCAGGAAGCAGTGCAATGATCGATTAATAATGTCTGTCTCTGGTGCTGGAGGAGAAAAGATAGCTCATGTGCCATCCTTGAAGTATGTGATATCATCTCAATTCCAACTCTAAAATTTTATAGCTCCATGATTCTCAACAATGAGCTCACTCTACAAGGCTGTCTGTCAAAACATAGATCTACTGCCTTAGCTGGGTGGGATGCTGTTCACTATAGTATAGCAGGAGAACATCTGATTCTCCATTATTATTTCAGGACTCTCCTCAGAGCCCCCAACCATGGGGGAAAGACAAGCCACAGGAATCAAGGAAAGAGATGGGGAGCTGACAGCGGCCCCCACACCTGAGCAGCCAGAGAGAGGTGTCCACTTCATCACAACAGCCCCCACCCTGAAGCTGCTCAACCATCATCCACTGCTGGAGGAATTCCTTCAAGAGGGGCTGGAGACGGGCGAGGAGGAGCTGAGACCTGCACTGCCCTTTCAGCCTACACCCTTCACCCCAAGCCCCCTCACCCGCCTGGCCAACCAGGACAGCCGCCCCGTCTTTACCAGCCCCACACCTGCCATAGCTGTAGCACCCACACAGCCCCAGCCCAGGGAGGGACCTTGGAGCCTAGAGTCAGAGCTCCCTGTGCTTCGTATCACAGCCCCTCTACCTCCAGGGCCCAGCCTTGCAGTGCCTACCCTATACCCAGGGGACCGACCTAGTACTACACCCCCCAGCAGAGCCTGGACTCCAACCCAAGAGGGCCCTGGAGATATGGGCAGGCCATGGGCTCCAGAGGCCATGTCCCAGACCACAGGGCTTGGGACTGAGAGCACCATCACCACCTCCACAGCTTCCGGAGATGACGAGGAGACCACAACCACCATCACCATCATTACCACCACTATCACCACAGTTCAGCCACCAGGTCAGTTACCTGCGGGGTCCCTACATGCCTCTGTCTCTGGCACTGTGCCAACCCACCCTCCCCTTTTTTTATTATTTAAGTGTATTCACATATTTTAGATATACGTAGTGATCACATTCATTATAGGGAATTTGTACCTGTACACAATATATCTTAATTTCCCTTTATTTCCCACCCTCCTTTTGGCACCAAGAAAAGCCTGTGGGAGGCAAGTGGTTTGGAACTAGATAGACCTGTTTTAAATCCTGATTCTTCCAAATATAACACAACCCTACAAACTTTATTTAACCTCTCTGAGCCTTAACTGTAAAATGGTGGAAAGAGAGCCCATTTTACTGAGTCACTCTGAGAACTGAGACAAGACTGCACATGGTAGGTGCTCATTAAAAGATGCCCCTTCTTTCAACAGGGAAATAAACAGGGGACTCCCCAGAGGTGGGCTTCACCACGTGTATACACATGCATATACACACACAGTTCAACCTTAGCTGGCCTCACTTCACCAGAGCTGGGCTTAGCTTTGTGTTTCCTCCTGCCTTCCAGGCCCTTGTAGTTGGAATTTCTCTGGCCCAGAGGGCTTTCTGGACTCCCCTCAAGCCTACAGCTCACCCTCTGATGTCGGCCTGGACTGTTTCTACTACATCTCTGTTTACCCTGGCTATGGTGTGGAGATCAAGGTGAGTGACTTGGATTGGGCAAGGGCAAAGCTGGGGCTGGTGTGTCATCTTTTCCCAGAAAGGCACCTGCTATAGAAGAGGAGATGTCTAAGGGCATCAGCTGAGTGGGCGGCACCTAGGCCCAAGGCTGGGAGATCGGCCTAAAACATGCTTGGATTCTGCCCTGTGCACTGGAGAGTCAGGAAGGCTACTGCTCCTGCCCAGCAATGCTCTGAGAGAGCTGTAGGAGGGGAAGCTGTGCCCACCCTCTGCCCCCATGGGACTGACTGGGAGCTCAGGAGAGCCTGAGGAGGAGGTTGTCACTTTGGCTAAGCAGAAGGTTGGGTAAATCACCTGAGTCCCCAGTATGAACACTGTGTCTGACTCTATGTGGCTGAGTAGAGAAAACACAGGGCTACCTAGTTGGACTGGAGAGAGCCATGGAGCACCATTCCTCCATTATTCACTCATCTATTCCTTCAGCAAGTCCTCCCTGAGCATCTCTTGTGGGCCAAGCTCTGTGCTGACCACAGTCAGAGAGATGACTATCTTCTAGGTGAGCCAGATCTACCCCCAGCCTCTTGGATCATCTCATCCCACCCTCAGGAGTAAGGCTCTCTCTTGTAAGCCCCAGGCCTGAGCCTAAAGTTCACACAGGCTTCTCAACCTTCACTAATCCAAATATTTCTGTTTCCCCCAGCCTGCTTGTCATTCTACTCTTTCCAGGTCAGCTGTGGAATACAGCTACCACATTGAGATGAGCATGGCATCCCTGGAGCTGGGTAGCATGGAGTCACCTTGGCCTTTCCTTCTCCCTCTTCTCAGAGTCCCATCAACTCATCCCCAGGGTCTGTCACTGTGACACTCCACAACTCTCCCATTTGCCTGCTTCTCTCCCCCTATTCCCACAACCACCATGTGAGCCAGCCCCCAATCATCCTTCCCCAGAGATACAGTGGCCACCTCATCGGTCTCCCACCCACATGTGCTCCCTACTGTCCCTCTTCACCCACATGGGGGTCACTTTTCTCAGATGAAATCACTCCTGCCCTCCCCCCACCATTCCCCAGGAGTTCTGAGTCACGGCCATTCCTCTGGGCCCACCTCTTGCTATTTCTTCCCTTGTTGTCTACTCCCCCTATGTTAGTCAGCCTTTTGTCCCTGTAACCAAATACCTGAGGAAAACAACTTAAAGGAGGAAAGATTTATTTTGGCTCATGATCTCAGAGGTTTTAGTTCATGGTTAACTGGCTCTATTACTTTTAGGCCTGTGGTAAGGCAGAAACATGAAGGCAGAAGGGCATGGCAGAGGAAAGCTGCTCATCTCATGTCATTCAGGAAGCAGAGAGAGGGAAAGAGCCAGAGAGAAAATGGCTAGGGACCAGATATAGTTCCCGAGATCATGCCCTCCCTTTCAGCTAGCCCCCACCTCCTGTTCCTATGACTTCCCAACAATATCATTAAATTATGAATCCATCAATAATGAGTCCACTGATAAAGTCAGAGTGCTTATGATCCAGTCACTTCTCTAGACCCCATCTCTGAACATTGCTACATTAGGGATCATCAAAAGATGAGTCTTTGGGAGACACTTAATATTTGAACCATAACATCCCCTTTGCACTGACCAGCTTACAGCTGACTGAATGGGCCAAATTTTCTTTCCCCCCAAGTCTCCATCACATATGCTGGTCCCTTTGCATGGAAGAGTCATCTTAACACCCCCTCCTTTAGGACTCAATCCTGGCTCAATCCTCAATCACTCTCTCTGGTCATTCTCTCCTGATCCCTAAAGCCTGGGGCATCACCCTCTATCTTGGCCTTCATCGCAGCCTTCTGTGGCTCTGTCTACCTCCTCAGTCAGATTGTGAGCTCCTTGAGGGGAGCCTTGCAGAACAGGGCCCAAGATTGGTATGGAGGAAGAAAGGCAAAGTAGACATTTGACCTGGAGACTGGAGACTGATATAGGTGGAGAAGGGAGTGTTCTGCCCAGCTGAAGGACTTTGCACTGGGTCTGAGGAGCTGCAGGGAGGAGCAGAGCAGGCGTCTGAGAAGCAGGGCAGCACTGCTCACAGACCACCTCCCAACCCACTTCCCATCCATCACAATGCCCTGTAGGTCCTGGATCTGGGCCTGAACCCAGTGGCATGACCTGGGACAGTGCCTCCAGCCATCCACCCCTGGGAAAGTCAGGCCCAGGTGTGAGCCAGGGCCGGGGAGGGGGCCTCTCCTACCCTTGCTGGGCTCCTCCCTTCTTTTTCCAACTGTTTGCTGCCACTCTGAAAGCCCTGGGCCCCTTACTCTGGGCTGACTGGAAGGGCAATTAGAAACAGCCACCTCCCTCTCAAGCCATTAGCACTCAGTGCCGCTTAATTAAGGTAATTAATGTAAAATCATCACCTAATGAGAGGTGGCACGGCTGTGGCTCACAGGGTGGAAGGTGCCAGCTGCAGGTGTAGGGAAGGGGGTAGGAGGGGGCAGATGCCAGGCTGGGTGCTCCCCTGCAGCCCTGGGCTGGCTCACCTGCCCACCAAGTATACCACTCTCAGTGAAGCCCACTGGGCCCTGCTGGGGCCAGTCCTGATACTGCCCACCAAAGGGGTATCAGATAATTCTACAAGATGCCATGTTGGCTCTGCCCACCCCTGCCCTGGCCCAACTCATGCCCCACTCTGGTTCTCCAACCCTTTACAGAGCCCTAGGTCTGCTGTTTTGTGCTGCTACATTTGTTTTTTCATCAGAATGCAAAAGCTGTTACCAGGCAACGTTGAGGTGAACACTTGTCACAGGCCTGGATTGCCGTCAGGAAACAAGGCACAGGCTGGCCCCACCTTCCACCTTGGCATCATGGGGGCAGAGTCCTTGGAGACTCTAGTCTCCAGTGGCCTGAGATAGGCCTGAAGCCATGGGGGACATGGAGTTGTCAAAGTTGGGTCAGCACCTGACTTAGGAGGAGCAAGAGATATAACAGGAAGGACTGAGCAGGATTTAAGGTTCTTCCAGGGGCAATTCTGGCAACCTCCACCCAACTAGGTCCTCCTGACCACACTACACCAGCCACTTGGAACCTGAAGAAGAACTGACACTGCAGACCTACTAAATAGTGGGAAAAACTGAGGCCCAGGCAAGGAAAGAGAATTGCCTAAGGTCACTCAGCTCATTATTACATAAGTTTTTGGTTTTTTTTTTAAATTTATATATTTATTGGTACATTTTAGGTATACAATACATTTACACTTATCATTGGGTGCTCGTACCTGTACATGATGTATCTTAGTTCTTATTTTTTCTCCCATTACCTGTGCGCCCTTCACCCCCTCCACCCTTCCCTATTTACACAGACTTTGATTCCTTTTTTTTTTTTTCTTTCTCATGATTTTTCCTTTCCCTTCTTCCCTTTCCCCTTCCCCTCCCGCCACCCCCAAACCCTTGGACCTTTTCCTATTATATAAGTTTTTGATGCATGGACTTGTTTCACAAATATAAACTAAGCACTTATGTGCCAAGCTCTGTACTGGGCACTGGAAACACAGATCTTCATGACCACAGGATGCTCGAAGCTAGTGGGGATGGGACCACAGGGGCTTTGGGAATTAGGGTGCATGGCATCCCACCAGCCTGAGAGTCAAGGATTTCTGGAAGTGAGGACATGGGCTCTGAGGACTGTAGGCTAAGAAACCAGCTGCCAAGACTGGGCTGTGGAGGAGCAGGGTGGCTGGCCTGGCCCTTGGAGTCCGCCTGGCTGATTTGGAAAGGTGAATTTTTTGAATAAGAGTAGAGGACAAGAGTAACAGGTTAGGTTGACACTCTTGCCAGAGACTTGGCCCTGAAGCAGTGTCCTCCTGCCCAGGCTGATAGCTGAGCCAGGCTATACTGGGGGCTGGATAGGTGAGCTGAAAGGCCTAGAGTGCTGCCTCCAACTCTTCAGTCTTGGGGAGAAGGGCTAGCCATGGCTTCTCTTTATCATGGGTAAACTCCAGCTGCCCTCCCTGAGTTCCCCAAATAGAATCACGGGAGCAGGTAGGGGATAGAATCAGAGAAAAGAGATCTGTCCACACTCTTGAGCAGGTCAGCCAAATGCAAGGCTAAGCCTCTGTTGTGTGACTGCAGCCACTGCCTAAAGATTGGGGGGGGGGGTGCTTCTCAATTTATTTTACTGAGGAACAGCCTTAGGGCTATCAGAATCCCTAAAAGCCCAGCTATCCCTACCTTGGACCTCTGCCCCCCAGAACATGCTTCCTTCCCTGCCTCACACCTCCCTTCATGGTGCTGCACTTATTGGTACCCTCTCAGGCTGAGGTTCCAAGCCAGCAGCAGGGAGAAGGCCAGATCAGGCCCTCCATGGTTCAAGGAGGCAAAATTGCTTCACTGGGGATTGGGGATTGGGCTAGAGTCTTTCTTGAAAGGTCCAGAGAAAACCCTTCAGGATAGTTGAACGTGAGCCCCATGGCCCACATGGGTCCCATCCCCTCTCCAGGCAGCCAGGCTTCCCATGAGGGCTCCAGGCCTTTCTGGGCCCAGTGCCTGCCTCTCATTGCACTTGGCATTCCAAGAGTCTTCCCACTGCCAGCCTCCATCTTGGCTTGGCTGTTTTTGCACCACCTGGAGCTGGGGCACAGCTGCCCACAGTCCCTGCCCTCATGCCCAGGTGGCCCCTTTGGCACAGCTCTCTTGGGGCAGGCCAGCTGCCAGTTTGATAGCCAGAACACCCCTGCCTTTCTAAACCAGATCAGGACCAGGCCTCATAGCCTGATATGAGCACCAAGAGTGGGTTGGGGCTGGATTTCTGGACAACTTCCTATTTGGGCTTTAGAAAGGCCCATCTGAAGTGGTGATAGATGCTAGAAGGTCTGGGCCCATGGATTCAGGCCCCTCTTTCACCCCTAAACAGACCTTACCTGCAAGGTGTTATGAATAAGTGCCTGTTCATAAGGGCACAGGCTTGCCATGTAAGACTTGGCTCCGGTCCTGGCTCTACATCAGCCTCTCAGGGACTGAGGTAAGCCCTGGCCTTCTCTGAGCCTCAGTTTCCCTTTCTATGAAAGGAGATTAAGCCAAATACTGTTTGTGGCCCCTCCCATCTCTGGCTCAGGGAGCTCTTGGTAAGCTCCACTGCACAGTGGCACCTCGGGTCCTTGGCCCTGTTTCCTGGCAGCTGCCAAGCCTGGGCCTCTGCCAGAGTATAAACATGGGGGTGGTGATGGAGCCAAGCAGAGCTGTGGCCAGCATCTGGGGGTGGCAGTCAGGTGCTGGGTGGGTATGACACAGACACCCTTGAGTTCCTGTGTGCAGGGTTGTACTAATTCGAATGGGTGCACCATCCTGCCTGCTGGTCACATCATTGGAACATGTGCTGGGGGGCTGACTGGCAGCTTCCATGGGACTGACCTGTAAGGCAAGGCTGATGACCTGGAGACTGGCAGGAGACAACCAGAATCCTCCCCTCTTCCCTTCCAGAAGAGGCCAGTCCCCTCAAAGCAACTGTGTCTTCTCCTTGAACTGCACCCCTGGTGTGCTGGCAGCAAGGCGGTGTGGGACAGCAGAGGGTCCTATGGGAACTGTCCCTAGCTCTCTCTCTCTCTCTCTCTCTCTCTCTCTCTCTCTCTCTCTCTCTGCTCCTGCCTCCTCCTGCCTGGCCCCCAGGGCCCCTCCTGTCACTGGAAGGGCTAGGGGAAGACAGCCCTCATGAACAGAGCTGACGTTTCAATCTGTCTCCCAGGTTCTTCAGATGCCTGCAAATTGCATCAAGTCTTCATCTTCCTACTTGTCCAACACCCAGAGCCCTGTCTGGCCCCTGTCAGCTTGGCCCTCAAACAAATGACAAATTACATTCCAGCCACTGCAGCAGGCCCACAAGTGGGTGCTTGAAACCCACGGGACTAGAGCAGCACAGGCAGCCTCCAGCTGAGAACAGGGAGCTAACTCCATTTCTCACCTTCATCCCAAACCTTTCTACCAGTCTGGGCTGGAAGCCAGGCCACCTTAAGGGTCCCATTCCTCCCCCAGACCAGAAGGAGCCAGAGGTCTCAACTCCCAGTTAACAAGCTGCTAGGGGAGAGGATGGCTGGTGGGAACCCAAATTCCAACATCCTGAAAAAGCCAAATCAAACAAGGCCAACACCTGCCTACCTACTAAACATAAGGGCCTGGAGACTGAGAATAAAGACATCTAGAAATCTATTTCTGCAAGTAATACCACTTTGAAACTGGTTCTTAATAGAGCAGCAAAACTACTTCTTAATAGCTGTAAGACATTCTGCAAGTTCCTTAGCCTTTCAGTGCTTCTGTTTATTTATGAGGATTTTACCACCTACCTCATAGAAAAGATTGACATATTTTAGGTGCTCTGTGAACCTTTATTGCTGCTGCTGCCCTCTGATCACAATAAAGCAGTAAAATCAGGAGTAGAAAGCTACAGGTCAAACTGGCTGGAGAAACTAGAAAGAAAATACTAACTTAATTTCTACTTCTCCGCCTTTGCTCTAGAGGTAATCTCCCTGCAATGAATATCCTCCCTTCCTCCTCCTCCTAGCTCTCCCCTTTGCAAGGCCTCTGAGACCCACCTGGGCCATGTACTCCCTGAGCTTCCAAGCCCCCCTCCTTCCCTTGGGATTTCTGCTGCATGCATTCAATGCCACTTAAGGCAGAATTATATGCTGCCTGGCATCTCTCGATAATTACAGATTCCACGTGTGAGTCTTGTTTTCCCATTTCTAGAATCACAGAATCTCCACGTTTGAAGGGACCTCATCCAGCCTCCGCCTGCTGCAGGGATTCCCTGAGGAATATCCCCAGCAGATGGTCAGCCAGCCTCCACCCAAATGTGCCTGGGCCGGGAGCTTCTCCCAGAGAGGAGGTGCTTCTGCCCCTAGCACCCTCCCTTAAGATTTCTCTTCAGCCCCCAGGACCTACCAAGTCTTTCCTTCCAAACAGGGGTGGGGACCTCTCCCTGCCAAGCTGCCCGATCTGAAATCTGTTCCCAAGAGAGGCCCTGGCAAGATTGATCTCCTTGGCTCTGGCTGGGTTCAGCATCCTGTTCTCAGCTTGCAGGGACCTGATGAGGAATATGCCTCTATCAGCCCACATATTCACTGTCTTCAGACATCTTTACTGAGACCGGCCAGTAAAGAGGGTGCTGTGACTCAAAATGCCACCCAGGTTTTTTTTTGTTGTTGTTTTTTTGTACCGGGGATTGAACTCAGGTCTTTGCGCTTGCATAGGAGGCGGCGAAACCACTGAGCTAAATCCCCGGCCCTAACCCAGGTTTTAATAGATAAGTAGAGAATGGATGCGAGAGCCTGACGGGGAAGGACTGACTGGCCTGGCCTGGCCTGAGCAGAAGAGGATGGTGATCCTGAGATCTGAAAGGATGTCCAGTTTCACCAGGAGGAGGAAAAGGGAAGCTTATCTGTACAAATGTTCAGAGGGGAAGTAAGAAGGCTGGCAAAGCCACTGGAGCCAACTGTGAGCTGGAAAGTTGGGACCTTGTCCTCTGGACAACCTGAAGCCACCAGCGGGGTGGAGAAAGATAAGAGAGAGGCATGATCTGATCTGAGGCAACCAGGCCAGGAGATGAATTGAAGAGGGGAGGAGTGGGGCATGGATAGAAAGTCTTGCAGGTGAGGAACAATGGATAAGAGGTGATCAGAGCTGAGAAAGCAACAAAAGGATAAGGAGGAAGAGCCACTTGGAACAACTAAAAGAGTGGGAAGGATTTCATGACTCACTGGATGCCTAAATTGTTAACACTTAAAACCCTTGCCTCAGAGCAATATGGTAGGGACCCTAGACCAAGAGAACAGAGCTTTGGAACTGCCTGGGTATCTTATCAAAATCTTGAGTAGGGCCGGGGATTTAGCTCAGTGGTTCCAGCGCCTGCCTCATAAGCACAAGGTCCTGAGTTCGATCCCTGGTACCAAAAAGAGAAAAAAAAAATCTTAAATATGACTTAGTAGATGTGGAATATGATCTGAGATTCTGCATTTCTTTTCTTTCTTTCTTTTTCTTTTTTTCTTTCTTCTACTGTAGTACTGAGGATCCAACACAGGGCCTCATGCATGCCAAGTAAGTGTTCTACAGATTTAGAGTAGCAAAGATCTACATGAGGCCATTTTATCAAACCAGAAAACAGAAGCTCAAATAATTAGCATACTTGTCCTGAAACACATGGTTAGGATGAGCTCCCAGGTCTCTAGTTCCCAATCTAATGCTCCTACCAAGTTACAATGTCAGTTCCTCTCTGGGCAATGTCTGTCATTGTCCAGTGCTTGTTTGATGGAATGGAGACATGGTGCCCAGAAGGATCCTTTGAGGGCCTGAAAGCAGGGTTTTTAGGCTGAGGGACCTGTAACATCCAGAAGAAAGAACTGAATCAAGAAACACAGAGAAGAGAGGAAATAGAACTAATGGCTAACTCGTGGAGGGACTGGTATAAAGCCCAGCTGAGTCGCCAGCAGGAGCTAGGCAGGCATGGCCTGGAGGCCCAGGCAAGGAATTTGGACTAGTACTACAGGCTTTATGGACTCAACAGAGGAATACTAGGGGATCTAAACATGGAAGCACCGTGATGAGAAACAGGTTTGGGACTCTTAACTGGCTGTAGTTCAGAAAATATTGATGGGGAGGGAGGAGTGGGTTAAGCCCTCTAGCAGGGAAGCTGACCAGGAGGCTGCTACAGTAATGTAGGTGACTTGAGGTCTGCTTGAAAGATTGAATGGCTGCTTGGATGTGCACTATGAGGGAAGAGGCAAGATGCCAGTTTCTGTCTTCGGTGCCCTGCTGGTTAGGAGATCGTTGCCTGAGATGAGAGCCAGGGGAGCTGCTGGCTGGGAGAAGAGAGTAGCTCAGCATGAGGCAAACTGGGTGTGAAGAGACTGTGAGGCATCCAACAAGAATGTCCAGGGGAGCCAGGGATTTAGCTCAGTGGTTTGGCCACCTGCTGTGCAGGCGCAAGGACCCGAGCTCAATCCCCAGTACCAAAAAAACCCCTCAAGAATGTCCAGGGGAAACTGGATACATAGGTCTGATGCTTAGGACCTCACATTGCTAGTCAGACCCTCAGACACTAGCCTAACACATCTACCCCATCATTACTTTATAGATGAGAAAATTGAACTGCAGGGGGGACAGGGATGAGAGGACAACAGGATACAGCTAGTGTATTTGAAATGCTTGGGAGACGAAGAGATGTGCTTACAAATCTCAGTTCTCAGGGTGACCTTGAGTAGTTTACTCAATACTTCTGAGCTTCAGGTTCCATCTTGCATTATTGAGAATGTAGGAATAGCTCCTCCTGCAGGAGATGCCTATCTCAGGATCTGGGGACTCTGATACCTAAGGAGCACTGAGGATTGGGCATATGGGGCCTGTAGAAGCCAGAGAGCAGCAGGGCTCAGACAGCAGGAAGCCTGAATGCTCTGCTTTGTTTTCACCAATCCACCTACAGGTCCAGAACATCAGCCTCGGGGAGGGAGAGACAGTAGCTGTGGAGGGCCTTGGGGGCCCTGACCCATTGCCCCTGGCCAACCAGTCTTTCCTTCTCCGGGGCCAAGTCATCCGAAGCCCCACGCACCAAGCAGCCCTGAGGTTCCAGAGCCTCCCGCCACCTGCTGGGCCTGGAACCTTCCATTTCCACTACCAAGGTAAGGCCTGGCCAGTTGAAAGAGGAACCAGCCCTGATTGGCTGCTCTCCTGGGAGATCTCTGGTATTATAACCTGTGGGCTAGGGCAGGGGACAGGGAGGGTCAGGTAGTGCCGCAGAGGTGCCCAGTGAATATCTATGCACGTGGAGCGGAGTATCACTCATTGGACACTTCCAGGACCTTCCCATCTCCACCCACCATCCTGCAAGGCTACTCTTGACTCTGGATTAGGTTTCCGCCCCCCTAAACTGTGCTCACTGTCATACATTCATTCAGTACTTTTCTTTTTTTTTTTT